AGAGTGGGGCAAATGAGGGTGGAGGCAGGTGTGGGTGTTTCGCCTTTCCCACCCACATTTTGATGTTGTCAGTCCAGGGAGTTGAATCGATGACCTTTCGATCACAGGCCCACCTTCCCCGCGTACATTATTACTACCATCTACCTATTTCTCTCTGTATATAATACATACATGTACATTATTACTATATTATATATATATATATATATATATATATATATAGGCGTGAATATAATTTTAAGCTTAGTAGTAAATTATGTGTACAAATAAGGCCATTAGTGGTGTAACTACAAAAACACAAAACCAGTGTTTACTAATAAAGCATAGGTATAGTGCATATACAGACTGACGTGGCCACTAACCAATCAAAATGTCCGTCATATGGTTTGTTTCATTCTCATTGGCTGGCTGAGACATAAGCCCGCCCATTAGGAACGTACAAAACTTGGAAAAAGGGCACTCCACGCGATAGCAACGTCGGTTTCCTTGAGTTGCAGCAAAGATGGTGGTCAAAGCTGTATGTGTGCTGAGAGGAGCCGGGGACGCAGCCCCCAAAGGCACGGTTTACTTTGCGCAAGAGGTAAGCTGTGCTAGATTGCACAATTTGTCGAAGTATTCTTTGGCAAGCAGAAAAACAAAACATTTAACATAAATGAAACTGAGCCTATGCTTTTAGCTTTATGCTAGCTAGCTAGCTAAATTCGTTACGCGCTAGTGAAAACGTTAGCTTCTATGAAAGGCGTTCACTGCTAGTTAGCGACATACGCAATTTAAGGAACTGGTTGTGAAACTTGGTTCATGTTAAATCATTGCAGAATTGCATGAATTATTCTTCTTTGTTTACCATAAACAAGCTTCGAGGTTGTTTATATATCACGAGAGTAGTCTGCAAGTTCTAGACATTTTGGAGTTCAATACTTTTTTGTTGTTGTTCCAAAATCAAGCGAGTTTGCTAGACCAGAGCAGAGAAATTACTCTGACATGGCGCAAATTAAGAATGTATCTGTAAGTCATGACCTTTAAACCTTCGCGGTAATGATTATCCAAACTAGTGCCTGTTGCACAACCTCGAAATTTATTGGTCTCCAGTTTTTAATCCCACTTTAACGATCCATGTGCTAACCTCGTTTCTCCTGCCCCCCCATAAATAAATAAAAATAAAATAAAAGCAGACTAAAGTTGAACCGTTGTGGACGTTGTTGCTTAAACATTATTCCGCCCCATTTTTTTTGCTGAGTCATAGCCAACCGTCCTGTCTGTCTACCCATCCATTTTCTTTTACCCACTTCTTCCTTCACTGCAGGGGCACTGGTGCCGTGTTTTAAATTATTTGGTTTGACTACAACAGTTTAGAGTTGGATTAGTCTCATTTACAGGAGTTTATACATCGTGTAAGACAACACCACGCAGGCAAACTATTTATTTTTTACCTTCTATGTATTATAGCTGCCTGAATCATTGTTTACTGTCTCCCCCCCCAATGTTATTAGAATGAATCAGCCCCCGTCAAGGTGACGGGTGAAATCAGTGGTCTTACCCCTGGTGAGCATGGTTTTCACGTCCATGCTTTTGGGGACAACACAAATGGTAAGCTTGTACACATTCTCCAGGTTTATAAAATTGCTAATTTTCTAATTAATTTTCAAATCGTCATGGTTTAATTGCATACTCAAACTGAGGCTCTTAAAATATTTTTTATTACCAGGGTGTGTCAGTGCAGGACCTCACTACAATCCTGAGAAGAAGAATCACGGTGGGCCTACAGATCAAGAAAGGTGAACTTGGTGGTTTTAGTGTTTTATCCCTCCCCTGAATTTTATTAAGCCCTGTACACAGAAATCACGCTTTAGGAGTTCCTACACTGTAATTTCAAAACCTGGTTTCAGAGTGCGCAAATCCTTAAATGCCACGTTGCATTTTCATGAGGACACCCTAAACACAACCTTTAAACGATGGCGTCACGTCTCCCCTCAAACCCAACCTACTACACCAAACGTAACAACAAAGGCAGATTGCGTGCTTGTTTTTGTGCTGCAGATTCCAGTAGTTCATCTTTAGTTAAACTATCATGTACTGTAATACTTGAAATAACAAACGGGGCTAATAAAATGTAAAGTGCTTTGAATAGAGAAGTTAAATTATTTATTACTTTATTCTATAAGACCATAAAGATTTTTATCCACACTGTTGAACTGTCCACATTGTAAATACAAATGTGGCAGATAAAAACAATATACATAAAGTGTGCGTGTGCTTTTAATGTGAAAAATGGGAATAGTTTTTTACACATACTTGTGTCATACCCAGCTGTTCCTCTAGATACTGTACCTGTCTTGGATCTTGAATCATGGTAATCTCGGTCAGTAACAGTTTTATGTACGACAAAGTGGAAGATCCACTTTGCAGTCCAGTTTTTCCCTCTCCATTGTTCAAGGAGGACGCCACTCCCTGGCAACATAACCCAGCACCCTGCCTACTGAATCCCCCACGCAGTTCTGCCACCTCCGGACAAGGCGCAGAGATTGTAGTATCTCAAACTCTAAACTGTGACAACTGCACGCAATACAAACGTAACGCTCTTCTACCGTGACAATCGTCCATAAAGATTTGTTTTTTTTGCTCTTGTATTCACCATCCTCGGTTTTATTCAGTTTACATTTTGCATCTGCTCAACATCGTCCCTGTGTATGATAAATTTTGTGGCAGACATGCAGCACCACATACAATCCTGAAATGGTTAAAACGGCTTTTAGTATTTTTCTGTTTCAGTACAAAAAACATTTCTAGGAACAGTGCTGTGTTTAAAGGAAACATCGTTTTGGAAAGATGATGCTCCTATGTGAATGGGTTTCAATAATGGTTTTAATCAGGCTAGAAAGTCTCAATTTTACTAACATTTGCTTTTTTTTCTTATTTTTTTTTTTAAAGACATGTTGGAGACTTGGGGAATGTGGTGGCAGATGCAAATAATGTTGCCAAGATAAGCATTGAAGACTCTCTCATCAAACTGTCTGGCTCCCATTCTATCATTGGCAGAACCATGGTGGTAAGGAAACAGTCATTGGTGTAATATATTTGTGAAAGTCAGTTTGAACCTAAAATTACTTTGTTAGTAGATTTATCAAGACCTTTTATTTTGTTAGATACATGAGAAAAGTGATGATCTTGGAAAAGGACAAAATGAAGAGAGCCTGAAGACTGGTAATGCTGGCGGACGTCTAGCCTGTGGAGTTATTGGCCTTGCTGAGTCTACCTAGTTTGTCACATTAAGCACTGGATTTTCCTCACTGCACATAGACCAACTTAGCTATTTGATGTAACAGTTTGACCTTTTCAGTACTCGGGGTTTTTAACTAGATAAAGGAAGTTAATTTTCTGTCCTGAATGTTCCTAGTGGTGACAGATGTCCAAATGAAGTCTATATGTCTACCAGTTGGCTTTGGTCCTAAAGATATGGTAATGCTTAAAGAATTTACAAACGTTTCATCGTAAAATAAAGTCGTTCAACAAAGTCGAGTGTGATTGTCTTCATTTGAAGCTTTTTATGTGGGGTTAGAGGGGGCACAGATGTTGTATAATGTACAGTAGTTACCTGTTGTGGGTGTTGTGCCTGACGTTCCTTTCCTCAAAAAAAAAAAAAAAAAAAAAAAGGGGGAAAAAAACAAGTTGATAAAATCTGCACAATACACATGAATTGACCTAATTTGTCAGCTAACTAAAATTTTATAGTATAATCTACAGATGTATGTTGGAGGAAAAAAAAAATAAATTGTCCCACCCATGATTTCTGATCAGTAGTTTATCAAAACTTCATACACATGTAGCATGCACTTTTCATCAAGCCAGCTCCAAGATCACAAATCAAAAGCAAATGTTATTCTAGGTCTTGTCCAAGCCAGCTATAGATGGCTGCATTGTACTAGTTTAATGTATAATGTGCCCTATGATAGCATGCCATAATATTTTGTCTTAACTACTTTGGGGTGAGTGCTAGTGAAGCAAAAAGTGACAAAAGTGGAACTCTGGTGTTTGTCTATGCAAAGTTAGACTACATCTCAGCCTTTCAATTAAGGAGGTACATAGTCAGGTGTTTAAAATGTGGTTTAAGCAAATCTATCAAAGATGATCTCGAGGCCTGCTGCTACAAATGGACTTGAACATAAGCCCCACAGATTGAGTGACTGACCTTGAAACAGTAACTGTTAAATTAAAACAAAAAAATTGCATTCGTATTTAAGTCAACATTTGATATTCTTTGGGACAGTGGAGACTACACTGTTCATACATTAATACAACAGTGTATCAAAGCAGAAAAGATTTGTGAGAAAAGGGCCAAAGCAAAGGTTTACAAGGGAGTTGAGACGGTATGTTGTATGGTTTGAGCGTATACGTTGTTTGTCAGAGAACACTTTATATCCGTGTTGAGTTGTAAACAGGAAATATTAGACAAATCAATTAAATGGTATTTAGTCATTATACGCCCTACAGTCCACCCTACGCCTTGTAGCTGCAGAAAATTCAAAGGTTTATTTACAAAATGTGTTTAGAAGGTATCCCTCCATTATCTTTTCCTGCTGCTTCCCTTTTGGGTCACAGGGCTCACTGGTTTTGATGTCCCAACTATCACTGTATGAGAGGCGGGGTACACCATGGACATGTCTCCAGTCCGTCACATGGAGACGACCATTCACTCTAAACTAGGGACAATTCTGTTATCAGTCAGCCAAACATGGATGTTTTTGGTCTGTGGGAGGAAACCTGAGTACCCGAAGAAAACGCACCCATGCTCAGTGAGAACATGCACCCGGCTGGGATTTGATCCAGCAACCTTCTCACTGAGAGGGAACAGCTCTCCCAACTGTGCCACTGTTTAGATCTTTCATACAAAATGGATCAATGTCAAGAAATTAAAGCCCCATAAAAAAAGTTTCCTTGGATTGTAAAAACAATCTTAGTTACGGTTTAGAGGGTCAAATCACTGAATGCAGACACTTGACTGGCAAAATGTGATTCTGAAAAAACGTAACTGTGTTGTCCTCCGTCTTCCTCTAGAGGGGACTGCTAAACTTAAAAACAATGCAGTCAGCAGTTGTCAAATTTCTTTTTACAGATGGATCAGTCACACACTCCTCATTCACAAATCAAAGTTTTTTTTTTTTTTTTACACTAATCTGGCACAAGGTACAATGGAATAATCACAAGTTATTGGTGTTTTTGTACAAAGGCGCACACACTTTGTTGTGCTGCAGTGAAATTTCATTCATCCATCAAGCAGAGGCAGCATCTTGAGCAGGGAAGCCCAGACATCTCTCTCACCATTTCTGGGAGGATTCCCAGGCCAGCCGAGAGACATAGTCTCTCCAGTCTGTCCTGGGTTTTCCCCAAGGTCTCCTACCAGTTGGACATGCCTGGAAAACCTCGCTAGGGAGGCAGCCAGGAGGCAGATGTCCGAACCACCTCAACTGGCTCCTCTGTGGCTTTACTTAAAAACTCTCCAGAATAACTGAACTTTGTTCCCTATCTCTATTTGCAGATGATCCTACCCCCAGTCATAAGCATCTACCTTATAACAACTCTTTATTGAAACCAGGATGAGGCGTTACATTTATTTTTCTCTGGGATTAATATATATTTTTAATTTTTATGAATTGATGTGGTCCTGTTGGTGTGATCGTGATGTGATCTCCAGCTCTCACTAGAGCGGCACACAACCAAGTATGAATCAGCTGGGCCTGGGATCAGCACCTTCAAATCTGCGGCCATGGTCCTTAGTAGAAAATAGGGTGAATTGTCCTCTCTGGATTGGGAGTGGGGCAGCACGGTCACGCAACTGGTAGAGCTGCTGCCTCTCAGCGAACAGGTCCCTGGTTCAAACCCCGGTCCAGGGGCCTTCTGGGTGGAGTTTGCATGTTCTCTCCGTGCATGCGTGGGTTTTCTCCGGGTACTCCGGTTTCCTCCCACAGACCAAAAACATGCATGTTAGGCTGATTGGTAACTCTAAATTGTCCCTAGGTGTGAGTGAGAGAGTGAATGGTTGTTTGTCTCGTTTGTCTCTATGTGGCCCTGTGATGGACTTGCGACCCGTCCAGGGTGTTCCCCGCCCCTCGCACAGTGATTGCTGGACATGGGCACCAGCGACCCCCGTGACCCAAAATGGAATAAACGGGTAAAGATAATGGATGGATGGATTGGGAGTGAGGTACTCCCTCAAATGGAGGAGTTGAAGTGTCTTGGGGTTTTGTTCATGAGGTAGAATCCTGAGGATAATGATCCAGACTCCCGCTGTCCCCTGGCTGCACTGTGATATTATGTCCATAATACGAACAGAATCAGTGTCAAAGGGCAGCCCGGGCAGAGTCCAATGCTCACCCTGAAGGAGTCCAACTTACTGCTGGCAATGCAAACCAAACTCTAGCATGACTTGTATAGGGATTGAACAAAGCAACATAATTCCAATAGGTACGGAGCACTCCCCACAATGTACACAGTCCAAATGTCTTCTTTAAGTCCACAAAACACACGTAGAGTTGCTGAGCAAATTTCCATGCCTGCTTGAGGACCCTGGTGAGGGTAAAGAGCTGAATGAGTGGTTCACAACCAGGAAGGAACCTGCATTCAGGCACACAAACTCACCATTACAAGGTGATGATTCACACAGTGAAATAAAAAGAAAGAAAATCTAAAGTTTATTAGTCGTTATTTATGCACATAATAAAAAAAACTTACAAGACGTTACACAAGTCATGAGTCAGACTACTGAAATATAACAGCCAACAACAGGATTTGAAATCGACGTCGGAATGTTGTTCCAACGTGAAATGCTTTTTAATAATCACGTGTACAGTAACAATGCATGTGGTGGATAAAAAAAGGTAATAAATAAATAAAAACTCAGCGAGAAGGTTGCCGGATCCAATCCCTGATGGGGGGCCTTCTCCAGGTGCTCCGGTTTCCTCCCACAGACCAAAAACATGCATGTTCGACTGATTGGTAACTCTAAATTGTATCTAGGTGTGTGATGTGAATGTCTTGTTTGTCTTTATGTGTCCCTGTGATGGACTTTCGATCTGTCCAGGGTGTACCCCACCTCTCGCACAGTGGTGCACATGGGCACCAGTGACCCTTGTGACCTGAAAAGAAAGAAGTGGGTAAAGGTATTTGATAGATGGATGGAAGTTGTATATGTGTTGACAAATGCAACTGGCGAAGAAAGAAAGAGAGAATGACTGCAAAAGTGGATAAAAATAGCCCAAGAGTAGAAGTGATGAATAATGGAGACCAAGAGTGCAGTTGACAGTGAGGCAAAGAGACCACCATGACACAACAAAACCTCACATAAAACATAGATCATAATGGAAACATGCAGAATAAAATAAAACGGGAAGAAAGGAACTGAGGTTATCTGTTGAAGATTATCCATATTGTCTGACCCAAATTTGCTCAAATTAGGTGGACTAAATATTTTGTTTTTACAACCAAATGTGTTTTAACCATCAAAATAGGGTTTCTCTATTTTGAAACAACAGCAAACAGAACATACTCTTAACTTTTATATTTACAACAAAAACAAATGGAAATCTTAACAGTTGAAGCATTCTCGTGGATGTGTTGGACTTAAGTATGTTTCTGAGTGTCACCTGTAGGAAATGGGGCGCCAGGTCAGTTTACTGACCACTTAATTGACGTGTTCACCTTTTAATAATCCAATTTCAGTTACTAAAGAAGAAGGGAGCTCTATATCACAACAAATTAATATTTACCCACAACAGAATTTGTCTTTGAAGCATGTTACAAAAAAACCCATCAAAAATACAATATGATCAAGAATAATACAAATATAAACACACAAAGAATACAAAATTGAATAATAACTAGTTTGAATAAGTAGCTATGTAATTACTTAGACTTCAAGGTTTACTAATCTAAAACACACATTAAGGATTTGTAGTATGTCATATATGGATATATTCATACTTTTTCACGAGTTCCTCATCTTTCTGACTGTGTAAATGTCGTGCATTGAGTTTAACAAAAATGTAACGAGAGACGTTATTTATCTTTGACCCATCAAATGAATGCGGTCATTTATTTTCAGAATCAAAGTTTAACATCAAACATTTACATTAATTTGGCAAAATATGAAAATAATAACAGACAAGTTTCACAGATAATGGACATCAATCACACGGCGGTGATCGAGGACTTTGCTTCAGATATTCCTAAAATATCTGTACTGATTTTAGGAGAAAGGAGAGTTTAAGATGGAAATGGAGATTTATCTTACAGAGAGATTTGTGAGGGAATTAATCTGTTGGACCAGAAACGTGCACGCTCCTTCAGATCTCAGCTTGCGACGGTACGCTTGGTCGAAGTGGACTGTTACCTGGTTGATGATATATCAGCGTCGGTATAGGATCCTCCTTTGACTCTTTCAGCGTCTCCGTTGAGAGCAGCTGAGATCCTTCGAGAGTTGTGCGAGGTTATTCAAACAGAAGTTATAATCCCAAAACG